CGATACAAATTATCTACATCATTTTTCTACGTACAAAACTGGAAAGGTAGTTAGTACAATTGTAGCACTCGATATACAATTATTTTAAAGAGAAAAATCAAACGCACGCAAACAGACACACACATACTCTGAAACTACTCGTAGCAATGGCAATAGGCATGTATTTACAAAAAGAAAAAATATTTAAGAAGTCACAGCCAACTAGCAAGAACATGCATCTACATGGGCTAAAAGATCGGTCGGTTTCTCGTTGCAGGTAGTTCGAAAATTGTTAGCCCTTTCATTGATTTCATTACTAGATTAATTTAGAGAGAACGTCTACGACTAACTAAATAATCACACATGAAAGCTTAAAGAAATACCGCAACTTTAAATCAAACAAAGAAAAAAAAGGAAAAAGAAATTTTCATATTCGTATCTGCACGAAGGTGTTGTAAAAATGGGAAACAAATAATATCTTTTTCGAAAAATATGGCCAGATTGATAGTCCTTGCAAGACCAATGGAGGATTGATTTATGAGCTTTTGAAATAGCAAGTACGGAAACTTAAAACAAAATACTGAAAACGATTATTCAATCTACAGGCACCCTATTGCTACGCGATATAATAATGCTCCACGACACATTTGCCTTGTCTTTTTTTTTTGCTGTCTGTACATAAATCTGGGCAGCTGTTTTTTGTTTTGTATATTTATGTCTGTTCATCTGACTTTTTGCCTATTTATCCATCTGTATGTCGCTTTATCTCGGCCCTCGGCCTCTGTCTGTCCGTTTATCTGCCTGTCCATCTGTGTGCCTGCCTATTTGTCTGTTTTTCTCTACGAAGGCATGTGCTTTGTTAGCGTTTGTGTCTGTCTCCCTCTCTCTTTCTCTCTTTCTCGCTCTCTCTCTCTCTCTTTCTCTCTCTCTGTCTGTCTGTCTGTCTCTCTCTCTCTGTCCCTCTCTTTCTCTCTCTCCTCTCATTCTTTCTCTCTCTTTCTCTTAATTTCTCTGTTTTTGCATCTCTCCCTCTCTGCACCAAATTCTGCCTCAGCCTGTCTATCTTCTTACACCTCTCTTCTTCCCGCCTTCTGCCTCTGTCTGTCCGCCTGCTTGCTTGCCTGCCTGCTTGCTTGTCTGTCTGTCTGTCTGTCTGTCCGTTTGTCAGTCTGTCTGTCGGTCCACCTTTCTGTCTGTCGGCTTCTTAATCTGTCTGTCAGTCCATCTGTCCCTTTCGTATCGTCTCTCTGTCTAGATCTATTTCTTCCCAGTTCACATAGTCTTCCAATCTGTTAATACTTTCCTGTCACTGTCTCTGCTCCATTCCATTATGACTGACTTTAATACTTATCTCGCTATACGCTCCACTGAATCCACATGGCATGCATTGCATCCCCTCCGTTACCTCTTTCCTATATAAATCTTTTGCAGCGACATTTTACATCAGGCATGGGCAAGCGTGTCAACATCGCGGGTCAGATCTTGCGGGCCTAAGCAGTAGTCAATAATTGGATGAAATCGATAGAATTACCCAAGGTCTTGAAAGTATGACTAAAACTGACACTATACCATTATAATATCATGTCACTCAAGGACATTCCATGAGATAAAACAATAGATCTATTGCTTCCAGCAGGACTGCATCTATTTTCAACTATTGGTTTGGATGTCTAAGGCTGACAATTTCGTAAAAAAACCCAACTGAATTATCTACTAGGGTAGACTCACAGAGCAGATTAAAACTGTTAGCTGGCCGGATTTGGCCCGCGGGCCGAAGTTTGCCCATGCCTGCTTTACATAATCCACACACGCTACGATTATTTATCTTCGCGTGGTTCTCCAACTGTAACCCACTTTCTAGCTTGCTTCATCACTCTATTGGAATTGAAAATGTGAAATTAATTAATGAAACATAGAAGGATGAACTGAATAATCAAAAACAATTATTAGTATTATCCGTGTTTTGGTGCAGGGCATATGTCAGAAACACTGGTAAATACGTCTTCTATGTTAGTCTATTACAGACAGTATGGTTTTGTACAGGGATATAATATTATAGGGATCGCGACTTTAGGACTCACCTCAAGCAATCAAGTCACAATTGGTCCTAACATTAAAATATCAGTCCATATACATGATGTGCCAAATCTATGAAAAAAATCTGTCCGTCATACCGAACCATTCACACAACGATATCACAATAAAAAGATTATATATATTTATATATTGGTGGTAGGGACAGCACTGTGATGTTCGGTATGACTATCATTCTTATCACCATCATCATTTTAATAATCATTATCTTAATATTGAAAATTGATATAATAGTCATAATAAACATTTTATAATCACAATCATTATGAAATTAACAGTGTATCTTATATTATAATTATCAGTACAAGTATCAGTTATAGTTCATTAATGAATTAATATAACAGACTAGGGTAAAAATAATAATATTGTCCATAGAACGTTTGTATTCGGAGGGATTTGTGCACCCCCGACAGCGTCTGGGTTTGGAATTATTTTCCACGACACCAGAGTGCACCCACCAGAAACCACAGGAGTAGGCCTTCAGTACCCTCTTCGAGTCATCTTCTTTTCTTGCTGAACTTCGCAACATACAACTTTTGCAAACGACATCTCACCATCACCAGACACCTCTCCAAACAGCAATACACGGAGCTGAACGTACGTAATAGAAGCCTATCACCCCCGCAAGTTCTTGCATTCAGAATGTGTAATAGGAGCAGATCAGCCTTTGTCTGAATATACTGGCTTCTTCAGAGACATGAGTTGAAAGAGTTTGAATTTCAAGTCCGGGATAAAGGATGTCCGACAAGCTGTGGAGCAACAGATACCTCTAGCTGCAAAAGGATGGTTACAATGCGAGCAGGTCTGAGTAATATTTTGAGGAACGTTGGACTATACTGTTGAAGCACAATAAATGCGTAAATAAAAAAAACAAACAGCTTCGAGTAAAACTTGGCTTAGAAGTACGAACTTATTGCATATGTTGCTATGATTTCCAGCAACTTTACTTACTTTTTGTAACCAACTTTTGCAACCAACTACACGTTTTTGATATTTCTTTTTTTTATTCAAAAAATTCTCAAAGGCACTAGATGCACAACATTCGTCGCAATATAGAATTTCTTTCAAATTGTATGTCAAAAAGCAGTTTTGTTCTAATAATATATGCAAAAAGATCCCATCAGTCTGCTCAGCTCCAAAATGCATTGCAAATGGCATGTACGTGCACTCGAATGACATAGTACCCAGAGTACAAGGGGAAAATGCCAAGAGTCCTAATTTTGTCTTTTTACCTTTGCTAATTTCGATTCATTGTTTTGGCTTCTGAACTTTTCTCTTCACCATCAATATGATTTTTCTCAGAAACGGCCAAAGTCACGTACTTGTAGCATGTTTAAATTAGTCGTGCATAGAAGGAGGAGCAGATGCACAAACAACGATAAACCAATAAGTAAAGACAGTTAAGTGGTCCTCAACAAATTCTGTGACTACTGTGATTTTACTCCTTGGGTCGTTATATATGTCAGTATACCTACAGGTTTTAACATCTTGACATATCCTTGAAGTGAAAGGTGTACGTTGCACTATTGATACAGCAGCACTGCCAAACGTGATTTATAACATTGTGGAGCCAAATGACAAAACAATAACGCCCATAATAGAACAGAACCTCTAACATGCTGCTTCTCATGCTCTAAGTTACACCGTTACAATCTACGTTTTGTAACAATTTGCTCTGTATTATTTTTTCTCATCTCATTCTCTATTTGCATCTTGTCCCGTGGCGTTTACAGTATGAAACCTGTTGTATGTTTTAAAAAAAATTGCAGACAAAATGCACTCACACACATGCTCTATGCATTTTAAGTCAGGTATGAGCACTAATGTTTGTGTGCTAACAAACCACAGAGGATGTAAAGAGGGAGGGGAGGGGGTATTTAACCACAAAACCAGCCAAATTAAGGTGTGTTACATAACGAACATCATGCTTATAGATCAGGTGCGCAAGAAACCCAAAAAACCTGGTTGTGACCCCAAAAAAGAAAGATCTTTAGAAATTTGGCTAGAACTTTTATTCTATTCCTTCAAATGTGTCCATCCCTTTAGATTTGGATGCGCGGCTAATAAAACGTCAGCTACGTATATGTTTCATCTACGTTCCTTTTTAAAATCCTTATTTTAAAGTATCGCCATCATGCCCTATTCCTATATCTATAAAAAAAACCTATGTCTCTAGAGTGCCCGCAATGGGAAGCCTCTCTATTATATGCCATGCGTTTTGTCATCCAGCTCTACACCCGGCTCTCTCTTACAACATTATTTCTATGAAGAGTTTATTTGGCTTTATCTTACATCATGCTTGGGGTAGGCCTACCTTTGTGCCATTATTCACAACATATGCTTCACGTCTGTAAGTGCCAGCGCCTCCCCCCAGCCGGTTTCAGCTCTTCATGTTATAACTGTTATAACCCCTCTTTCTCACCCTCGACTCCCCCCTCCCCCCCCCCCACACACACACTCTTGCCCCTTTTTTCCATTCATCGTTTCCAGTCCATTTCAGAACCCCAATCCCTTGCGTGTCCTCGTCTCTCCCATCACACGTGGGACACCTCCGTGTCCGAGCCAGCGTCCGACCCTTCCTTCTCAGCATTGTCCGCTGTGGTCACGTAAGTGTCTATGAAGCCATTCTGCCTCGGGAAGGTGGAGAATCCCACGAGCTCCACAGCGTTATTACAGCACTCGCGTCCGGCATCCTGGTGATGGTCGTAGCCGTGATGGTAATGGTGGTGCTGGTGGTGGTGGTGGTGGTGGTTCTGCTGCTGCTGCTGGTGCTGCTGCTGCTGATACTGATGGTGGTTGCCGCCGTGGAGGTGATGATGGTTGTGGTTGTTGTAGTAGAAGTTGCCCTCCTCTGTCGGAAAGTTGACCGACTTGATCCCTAGCCAGCCCATGAGCGCTTGGACCGCTTTCCATTTTCGAACGGTTAGTCAGACATTACTGTTGTCGTCACTTATCTGGTTGGCGTGTCGGAACAAAGGTTTGTTTCTATAGTGGTTCCACAGTTGAAGAATCAGCTCCGACACCAGAACGTCATTCGCGTTTTTACCAACGAGTCGCAAGACGAAGATACCGTCTTGGCGCAAGTACTGCTCGCAAAACTTCACCGCCATCTTTTTATCCAGTTCGGATTTGTAGCAGTCGTTGATGCGCAGGAACTTCTTGAGGTAGCGGAGCCTATGCTGCCTAAAGATCATGGTGTAGACCCAAATAAGGAAGTTGAACGTGCTGAGGGTAGCCACGAACACGAGCCAGAACCAGATGAAGATGAAGATCTTTTCGTTGAAAAGATTGATGGGCAACACGCACTGCACTGTGTAGTCATGGACGTTGGACATCTGCCGGATCTTGAAGAAACAGTGCGTGATGCGGGGGAATCGTGGAGACTCGGACCAGCTCTCGCCCCGCGCTAAGTGGTCCATTACCTCAAAGCCGTAGACGTTAAAGTTCGTGCCGAGAAACTCGTTGAGGATGAAGAGCTGGCCTATGGCATTGGTCAGGTAGAGCAGCTTGATGAACATGTATAACGTGACTAGATAGTTGCCGTAGCGTTTGCCCCACACAATGCAGCAGTATTTGGAGATCTGCTGGCGGAGGCGGATGAAGCAGCCCGACCTGTACTCCCGAGCATTCTCGATCCACCTGTCCATGTACCTGGAGATGGCCAAGAGGGCGGGTTACCTTTCAACACCAAGGATACAAACCAATCAAGAGTACTTTAAGATAAATGGTTTAAGATAAAAGGTAAAAATAGCCTTCGCTGTTATCCTACAGAATGTAGTAGAATCCTAAATAAATCAAAACATGCACTGCAGTAACAACTGCATCATTTTAAAGTATAACATCTGCAACGGTAACAGTACCAAAAACATTGTTATACAAACTTGAAGGTAAAATAAAAAGATCATACTACTATCAAACATTCCAAATGATGCCAACGTTAAATAAATGCAGACGTCTAAATCAATCTGTCAATCAACACTTTTGTCTGTAGATATATTCTGTTATGTTCACTTTAAATTAAGTGTCTTGACGTTCTGGACTATCCAGCCTTCAAATTAAACTGCACTGAGTCTGAGTAGGGTGTTAAACTTCAAAAACAACTTTTGTTTGTTATAATAATAATAATGATAATAATGCGTCCATTAAAATCTGACGATGACAAATGCAACTGAAGAGGAAAACATTTCTTAAAGAGAAAAAAAGGACTAGATTTAAGGATTAAGAGGACGTGTAGCTTCTGCTATGGCAAATACGACCAATTCTGACGGAGAAGAGGTAGCCACATTTCGAGCACACAAGTTTTGTACCCACCGGACAATATGTTTGATGGTCCGGTCCCTGTCGTCGGGAGCCACGTAGGCCGTCTCGGCTGCCAGGGTGACGATCTTGTCCAGGTTCACCCCCGCAGAGGCCGTGAGTATACGCCACAGTATGCATGGCACCTGGGAGAGGTCACGTGGTGTGAGTGAGTGGTGGCGGATATGTGGTCAGGTCAGGACGTGAGTAGGGACATTTGCGAGTAGAGAGAGCCAGGTTGAAGGATGGACTGTATGACGTAGGGATTCGGAGAGAGGGGAGGGAGAGAGAGAGAGAGAGAGAGAGAGAGAGAGAGAGAGAGAGAGAGAGAGAGAGAGAGAGAAAGAGAAAGAGAGAGAGATTCAGAGGAGATATTCTAAGTTAAATAGTTTTTACTTGTTATGAAGAATAATACAAAACGGAGACCGAATACACTCAGATACACCCTAGAAAGTAACCTATGTATATTATAATCAATCAAATAGAACCGAATTATGTGTTAAATGATATTCGAAAGAATATAGCAGTGTATAAAATAAGGGGCATAGGGGGAAATAGAGTACGAGGCAGGACAAAGGTTCCCCTTTACACATATTACTGTTAACATGAACATGACAAAGGAACAAAGACGAGTTATCCCAAAACCTCTATCCAAGTTGTCCTGAGTAAGTGCGCTTTCTATTCTTGGAAAATGACATAGCTTCTAGTTTATTATACTGGTCTTTCCTGGAAGATATTGTGCTTCACATCAGCCACGGCAAGGCTACTGTAACAGGAAATACAAGCTAAATTATCTGTGTCCAGGGCCAGGCATGTGCGTGGCATGTCTGTGGTAAATTGCTCTTCGCGCAGTATATCGCCCGAGGAGAGGTTCTTAATTTCGTTTCCAGACATACGGCCCGTAACAGGAGAGAATCTGCAAGTTTTATGGCGCCTCAGCTTCGCTGTGGTTGAGATGAGCGGAAGAGCAATAGAAAATGTTCTTTAGGGTGTTGTCAAATTGTCATTCCCGTCTTTCCGTCTGTGGTTACAGCTCTTACAATATGTTTTTCGCTTTTTTGTAGCCGTAAATGGAAGCTTCGTAGAAGAATATAGAGCGAATGAATTGGATCAGATTTTTTTGAAGAACTTATTATTCTGATTCTGAAGGTGTGGAACATCTCTAGAAAATAGTGTTTCTCTTCCATTGAAGAATTGGCTGATCAGACACCCAGATATTAAAAAACCACAGAGAGACAGACAGACAGAGAGAGAGAGAGAGAGAGAGAGAGAGAGAGAGAGAGAGAGAGAGAAAGAGAGAGAGATAGAGAGACACAGAGACAAGAGAGTGAGAAAGAAAGAGAGAGAACAAGAGAGAGATACACAGAGAGATACACAGCGAAAGATACACAGAGAGAGCAAGAACGAGAGAGAGAGAGAGAGAGAGAGAGAGAGAGAGAGAGAGGGAGAGAAAGAGAGAGAGAGAGAGCGAGCGTGAGAGAAGGGGGGAGTGGGAAGAGAAAAGGAGAAAGTAAAATAGAAAGAAATGCACAAAGAAAAAGAGTGAACGAAAGGGAATGGGGGAGAATGAGAGAGAATGAGAGGAAGCGAGAGAGAGAGAGAGAGAGAGAGAGAGAGAGAGAGAGAGAGAGAGAGAGAGAGAGAGACAGAGAGACAGAGAGACAGAGAGACAGAGAGAGATACGGAGAGAAAAATACAGAAAGAGACAGAGATACAGAGAGAGAGAGAGACAGAGAGAGAAGGGGAGGGTGGGAAGAGAAAGAGAGAAAAAGGGAAGGTAAGATAGACATAAATGTACAAGAGAGAGAGAGAGAGAGAGAGAGAGAGAGAGAGAGAGAGAGAGAGAGAGAGAGAGAGAGAGAGAGAGAGATGGAATAAATAGTTAATTCCCTTGAAATAAAAAGGTAAAAAACACCCAACGTATGGAAGATATCTTTACTCCCTCCATCCCCCCGTCGAAAATCTCCTTAAAACCCACAAAAATCGATTTTAAACAAATGGATTCATGCAACAAATAATTTGGTTACAACAGAAAATTGAAATTACTAGATCTAGTAGTTAATGAGGTTTCAGAAAAATACAGAAGCAGAGAATAGTCAGGGTACAGAAAAGGGGGACGAAAAAAATTGTTGTGACTTGAGTTCTCAAATTTCACAACACAATTAATTCGACAAAAGGAGGACGTACGTAAGCAGAGCAAAACCTCACATGTTAACAATACACACAACAATAACAATAACGAATGAAAAACCAAACAGACATAAAGCATCAAAACAAACTATAAACAAACAGTATACGATAGCTTCTAAATAAATCTACATTATAGAACATTATTTATGCTCTTTGGAAACCAAGACAGGTTATCAAAAGGAGGACATACGAATTAGAAATTGTCTTTGATGGGGTGATATGTATAACGTTATATACAACAAAACCCTAAAGTGTAGTCCAGTGGGTTGATAAATGAGATAACTGTGCACTTTAAACAAAAAAGAAATAACAGATATGTACGGTAACATACACACATGTGGAGACACTTACTGCTTGACATCAATACACATAAAGCAAGCGAAAGACAAGACTGGACAAACTACTTGAGTCAAAACAACTTACAACCAGGCAAGGATTGGTGGTTGAAATTAAAGTCAAATAATTATTTTCCCCAAGAGATTGCGCACGAGCATTAAAAAAATAATTCTAGAAAAGGCCATGTCAGTAGTAAATAGTTGACATTCGAGTAAAAAATGATACACGGTCGCTTTTATTTCTTGCGTGGAAAACGGATATAATTTTTCTTTCAATACTCATTAGGTCTCGCTTCTCTTTCGCAAATATGCGAGTTTCCAAATGTAACGCATGCGTCATAACTGTCCTTTAAAATCAATATTTTGATTCAGATACATTTTTTTTTTATTACTTACCGAAATAAGAGAATGTCAGGATGCCGATGACGCATAAAAGATGATTGCGTGAACGTATGACAATAAGGGTGCTGGCAATGGGAGTATTGGTGTTGAGGTGATTAGAAGATAGTTTGAAAAAGATCTTCGATGAATAATTAAGAAGAGGAAATGAAATGGGCAAGGTAGTTATTAATAATGTCATCCAGATTTTGATAAAATTCAGGGCCTTTTCCGGTTTTGGACACATGCATGAATAAAAAATGGGGTACGGAATGATGTGAACTGAAATACAGACAGAAATGTAGAAATTATCAGGCAATGATGGAGGATTTGTTAAAACGAATAAGCATAACCTGAGGTGAATATAACATCGACGTACAGATAAACATTGCTGTGGCAACAAATAAACAGGAATTACTGGGGGGTTTTCGGGAATAATTAATTAAGAAGTGTGTTGGAGTAACATATAATAGTTTTAAAGATGGAATCAATATTAATCAAAACCACCCAAATTTTAAAAAATAAAAGGACAGCTGCGGGAAAGAGTGTTGTGTGATTTTGTGCAAAAACTCCCGTGGTCACATAGAAAGGTGCTCATGAATCATGTCAGGATGAAATAAGTAACAGTCAAAGGCAGAGGTGTGCTTCAGGAGTAGTGCTGTGTGGCTCAGAACTGTTTCATATTTTCGACAAATGGTATGATCAGAGCCTCATTGGCATATGGCGAGGAAAATAGCTCAAGTAAAATTGTTTGAATGAAGAAACACACACCCAAGAGTGTGTAGACTTTCTTTCTCATAAATTCTAATGAATCTCAACTGGAGACAACACAGCAGGAAACTTTGCTTTAGTTGTCTCTCGTAGTATCTGGTTTGTCAATGGCTTACGAGCTTCTGAAAAATTGCTTGATTTTCTGTTATTCCACCTATGTTAACCTTTGTGTTTTCTTTTTCACAGGTACATGGACGTCATGTGATACACATATGTCTCTTCTGAGATAAATGATAACCTCCAAAGTTAGAATACCATGGTTGATTGATGATATCTCTAGAGTTTGAGTCTGACGAAAGTTTTTCTGTTCAAAGTTGGTTACAGATAGCAAGAAGTGATAACGTGAGCTTCAGAACAACTTCAGAACAGGAAGTTAAAAAAACCCCAATAAAACATTTAGTTGCGTGTAACCTTCTTCAATAACAACATAATATAGTGCAACTGATTTTAGTGACATAGATGATTTCGAAACCAATGAGATCTGATTAGTGAATAAATTTGTAATGACAGGCAGTTTAAAGGAGAATTGTATGAGTATCACAATGATGGACATAAGAATATAGGGCTGCCAAGAGCCGTCACAGGTACACCAAGGGTGGAGCCGGAGTCATTTGTATGTTCATATCCAAACCAACAAAATTTCGTCAAAAAAGGGTCTTTACAATTAGCACTTCAGTTCGAATACATTGAAAGGAACGTTGCTCTAACACTCTGAATTTAAAATTTAACATAATAACTAGCACAGCAAAAAAACGGAGTCACTTATGCATTTGCTTTTTACTATACTTCTGAGGAATTTTTCAACAGTTTAAGCAATGAATCTGGCTTTATATCTCAAAGTTGGTTTGAATTTGACACACAGAACAGAGAAAAAACATTGATAGCAGCTGTTAATATCTTCTGTGTGATAGAGACCCATTGAGGATAACCTCACTACGGCTATTCTGTGTCTTTCCTCACAATTTTTAGCAGACATACAGTTGTATTTGGATGTGATAAGAGGCCGTCTCAGAGGGCTAAGAGGGTGTGTGCAAGTGTGCATCGATCTGAACCAGTGTCACAGTCAAACGAGTATTCGTCCACCATGCCATGAACGATTGTCTCCCCGACTTTAATGCTCTTACTAATAAATTGGAGTTAAAAAGACAAGGGAAATGAAAGGGGACAACAATTGAAAGGACAGTATTTCATGACCAGATCAAAGCAATTTCCCTTAGGAAGTTCCTCGCACGGTTTGCCAAAATGGCGCGTTATGCTACTGGAGTAGTGAACAGCCAGCGACATTGGTGATCATCACAGAGCGTCTACTGTTATTATCACCACAAACGTTTTTAAAAAATATATAAAGTCAGCGGCGAGGTTTATGATATTATGAGACTAGATACAAGCAGTGAGGCTTAAATAGTACATGCCATTGAAAAAGCCATAAACAATAGAGACAGAATGACTGGGTCTTCTGGTCACGTGCAGATGCTGGACAACGGTTAACTGTACTGAAGCATGAAGCACGACACGCCCTGGCGGGGAGGAGAGTGGGACAGGATTACCTTAAACATAAGAGCCTGGAAGAGAAGGATCATAGGGATCCATTGGTAGTACTCCACCTCACCGCTGAGTGGCCGCTCGGGCCCTCTTGGGGTGTTGGAGTCGAAGGGAACATAGTGAGTATTTGCCACCCAGCACACGTTATTCGTGTAGTCCACCTGTGCAAAGGAGAGAGAGACAAAGACATGCAGGGATGGAAAGATGGTTGATGAACAGACTCATGCCGGGGGAGAAATTTGTTGAAGAGGATGAAGGTTTGTGAAGTCGTGTGCTCTTGTTTAACTTCAAAAGCCGTTGAAACGCAACATTGGGGAAGCACCTGTCGTCTTTGTAACCTGCAAAAATAAAAGGTATTAGGGGGGAAAAGGAAAGTGCATGGAAGAAAATGGAAGTTTTATAAAAAGGATGGCAAGAACAGACACTGTTGTATTGTCTAACTCAAAGAGGAGTAGAAAAAGAACGTTTATGCTTCAGGAACAAAACTTTGAACTGGCCTTGTTTGTTCTGTCGATCAGCAAGGCTGTGCTATGATCTAGACAGGCTACCATAACATATCTAACAATGTATCGGGTTACCATGCAAGGGTTGAGAGTTTGGGAAAATGAAGAGAAGAGAAAATTTGGAGAAGAGAATGTAAATGATGTACTTTAAGACATAAAACAAAGGGCAAACCTGCCACTTGAAGTAAAATGCATAGAAGACATCATTAAAAAGGGACATAAGGAAAGCAGAGTTACAGCAATCTGAACACATCGGTGCAGAAAAGTGTTGCCGGGAACAGAAAAGGTGCTCAAAGAATGGCGTTTTAAAGTCAAACAGGCGGGAAGTAAAGTCCTTGAGGTTAGTTTCTGGTGAAAGGAAAGCGTTATAAATCACTGTGCTTAGACCCGCACTTGCAATCGTTTACTTCAGTCCCTTGTGTTATAACTTCAGTCATTTAAGAAAGATATGAACAATTTCGGTGAATATATACAGGTTTTTTGATGCATTTTTCTAAGAGAGCCACCCAAAAGAATCTGAACTTGCAAGTTAGTTAATTTTATAAACTGTTATTACATTTTCGACGAAGTGAAGATTCCATTGTTAACGAAGATGGAGTATTGCCTAACTTAAATGCCTTCTATGATCTTCGAGCTTCCAGAGTCAGTTTTCCTTTAGCGTGTTTCGCATTTCCGTCTTGGAATCAAAGTTTAGCAGGTCTTTTTTAAAGAAAGAACTGGCTTCATACTCAACAAGAAAGAATTCAGGTGGGACACGTTTCACACTAGTATAATTTATCAATTCTGTAGTTTAATGTCCAACTGCCGTCAATCAAAAATCTCCATGAAGGGCCATCGATAATATAAAAATATAATTATGCTCCAAATGAAATGACACCCAAAAGATGTGGAAAGCGAGAAAGGGGTCATAGGTCTGTTCCACAATATGAGGACAGAGTGAATTAACTAATTCGGGAACGACGAAACGACTGATCTGAATCAAAAAGGAGGAGAAAAATGTCAAAATGAAGGGGAATAAATCAGACAGCTCTCCTGATGGTACCTTGAAGAGCATAGCCTGAAATAGGAGGATCATAGGAATCCATTGGTAGTACTGTATGGCCGATTCAGGAGGCAGCTCCCACTGGGGCGGCAGACGTTCCCCGAAGTGAACCCAGAATGTGCTGCTCACCCAACAGACGTTGTTCGTGTAGGCAACCTGTTGCCACAAACAGTCATATGGTATAAGAAAAGTGTGTTTCTTTTTGTAGTATTATTTCCGACAATAGAAATGTTGTTATCCACTGTGAAAGCTGCTCTGCTCTCAAATCTCCCTTAGATTAGGTCTGAGCAATACTGTGTTCTGAATCATTTAGGAAAAAGGGGAATCCAT